TCTAGGGTTCTTCTTCTACATATTAAAAAAGTAGTTACACATCTGAGTGATGCACTACTGCTACTAGTGGTGAGAAAGTGTATTACACCTTGTTCAAAATCAATGCGGTCCCACGGCCCTCTGCGGCCCAAAGTTAAAAACTGTTGTTCTTTTGAGGCCCTCAAGGTGGCGCTCACGGTCCATGGGTTAAGAATCTCTGTTAGAGAGACTGAGAGAGGAGGAGGAGGTGATACCCAGAACATCACACTGAGGGCCAGGTGAACACTGTGTTAACGCAGTAAGGCATCAAAGATGAAAAAGTGGATCCAGGTCAGAGTTCAGGTCCAGGTTTGTTCCTATGAGTAACATTACAGATGGCCACCTCACCTCTGGTTCCCATGTTCTCCACACAGAGGGCTTTGAATGAGGGGCTCCCTCCTCCCTCACAGTGACTCATGCTGCTTCATCAGCTCACACTCGTGCCCCACCTTCACCTGCAGGAGAAACACAAAAGATTCATGATTTATGCAGTAAAAAGAGCAGCTGCTTGTCCTCTCAGTGTCAGCTGCATGCTGTCAAACAGCAGGAGGCAGAGGAAGCTGCAGCAGCTGCTGTTTCCACCATCCGTCCACTAGAGGGAGTCATGGAGCTGCAGTCTGTTCAACCAGCTCAAAGTGAAATGATTTCAGTGTTTCACAGCTGAAGATGCTGAGGTTCTCCTTGGGAGAGACGAGGATGGAAAGGATTAGAAAGTTAGAGAGCAGACTGAGGTTTGACGTGTCCAGAGCAGGGACAGTCGGTAGATTAAAAATCATAATTATAAATTCATTATCCTGATTTTTTTTACACACTGAGCATCATGAGTTTGCTTTGACTGCATCATATGAAACTTTATCGCAAAGCGTCCTCTGCAGCATGTAACACCTCATGGGCTGAGAAACACAGAACAAGTTACCTTCATAAACCTGAGCAAGCAGGGATCATCCTATAGATTAAATTAACTATAATCAGAAAAAAGAAAGAGAAACAGAAAACTTTATAGAACAACATACTTGTTGAGTACAATGTTCCAACCAAAAAGAACAAAAATGCTTGAGAAACAATGTAATCAATTCTCTTATTGAAGAAACTACAACTAAAACAAGGTGACATCCTCTTCCGTTCCACAGAGTACAGACAGAGTACCAACTGAGGTCTTGAAGGACATGTTGTAGATGATTAACTAAATGTTAGATACAGTTTTGTATTTTATACTCCCTGATCACTGCAGCCTTTAAGCTTAAAGCAGAGCATGAACTTGTGGAGGCAGAAGTGCATGGTTTACTGAAGGAGGCGTGCTGCTCTGCAAACCACAGGAGCTGCAGGCGGTCACATCACAGACTGACAACGGTGGAGCAGAAAGACGATCGCATCAGTGAAGCAACAATACAAGAATAAAAAAAATGGATTTGTTTTACAGAAAATCAAGAACGCAGCCTGTGTCAGTCCATGCAGGGCAGCAGCAGTGACGACATGGACACACGAGCTGCAGCTGTTTTCTGAAGAGACAGAAAGTTAGTTTGTGCTTCAGGCTGAAGCCTCAGACATCAGCTCTACTGTTAGCTGAAGCATTTCAGTGCCATCCTATGAACAAATTAATCCATCCTGTCTCATCTTCTCATGGATTTTTAAGTCTTATTTGCTCTTTTGGACAGATACATCCAACAAGATTTCAAACAGGATGAATTATTTTTTACTTTATGCACCTGAATAATGTAACTAAAGTTATTCTTGAGTTTATTTTGGATTTGCAGCAGGACAGGTCAACAGCTCCTCATGCTGGGGAGAGGACGATGTTTTGAGTTATTTGTACTTTAGCTGTTTGTTAAAAATATACTATATTTGTTGTCCTGATGCATCTCAGTAATCCAGGTAAAAAATCAAAAAGAAAAAATTGTATAGGTCTTCTGGACGGGTTCTTCTCTAATGAAACGTTTCGTCACTCCTCCAAGAGACTTCTTCAGTCTGAGAGTTTCAGGCAAAATTCAGGCTTTTAAGCCCTGCCTCCATGTGACTGATACTCACATCACATGGTTATCGTTGATACCTAATTAACCATGTGATGTGACACATCACGTGATAGCCAGGTGATGTGAGTATCAGTCACATGGAGGCAGGGCTTAAAAGCCTGAATTTTGCCTGAAACTCTCAGACTGAAGAAGTCTCTTGGAGGAG